CAGGCCGGGCCGGGCCGGGCCGGAGGGCGCGTGTGCGCGGCGTCCTGCGCTCCCGGTGGGGTGCCTGGCACACCTGCTACACAATAATGTTTGGTGAACCGATAAAAGAACGCACCAAGCACTTCACAATACTTCCCAACAATTCTCAGAGGTAGGTGTCATGCCCATTGTATAGAGGAGACAACTGAGGCTCCCAGAGGAGCCTCAGAAAGTAGCAGAACCACCTTCTGAGTAGCTAGAAAGTGGCAGAACCGGAATCCAGCCCAGACTGTCCGCTTCTATGCAAGCCCAGAGCTGACCTGTGATCCCTGATGGCTCTCAAGGCCAAATCCAAACGTATCTCTGATGAAACTATGGAAATTCCATGTTTAGAAATATGAAAAGACCTGAGCTGATAGTCATGTAGTCTGACACCTTTGTTACATGGAGGCTTCATTTAGTTCTTCTAATTAAACTAAAATATAAAGAAGGGATTAAACTAAAATAGAAATAAAGCTAGACAAAGGCCTGGAAATTATCTTGTAAGGAAATATTGCCACACTGATCCCCAGAGCAGATTGGAGCAGGATCTGTCTATTGTTTTTTTCACTAGAAGGATAAATGTTTGCTGTTCCCATCTCTGAAACAGTCCGTGTATTTAAGGAAATATTTTTAAATGGCGTGCTTGCTTTCTAATGTTCTCCTAACTCTTTGTGCATGGTTTTAGGTACATTGCATTTGAGCATCTTTAAATACACTTCCTTTACCCAGGGATTCTATACAATCTCTAGCAGTATTTTTACCACCACTTTGGGGATGGGCCATCATTTTTGTGAACCACTTATCACTAATTCCTACTAGCCAAAAAGGTTAAAAAGAAACTGTCTTTAGGAAGAACTAATAAAGAATTCATCCATGCTGTACAGCATAGGGAATAGAGTCAATATTGTTGTAATAACTATGTATGGTGCCAGGTGGGTACTTGAACTATCAGGGGAGAACACTCTGTAAAGTATATGATTGTCTAACCACTATGCTGTACACCTGAAACTAATAAAAAAACAATAATGAATGTAACCTGTAATTGAAAAATAAAATTTTAAAAATAATAATTAATCCATGCCATAAGCAAGAAGAGATACACCACTTCATATCTGTTTATTAGTTAAAATATATATTACAAAATATTATTTGTTAATTTTAGTTTAAAATATGCATTTAAAAATATGAATACAGTTTAAATAAAACTGATGAATGCAATGCTCTAAGATGCGCCCCCCCCCCCAGGCCC